TTCACCACCACGCCTTGCTACCAAACCATAGCCAACTTGTCGCGACACACACACACACACACAAGCACATACATATATACATACACACATACACGCACGCACATACATATATACATACACACATACACACACACGCACACACATCATACCAGGGCCGGGCCGGGCCGGGCAACGACAACAATCTCATCCCCCCACCGCCACTTTCCATCCAGTGTATAACACAAAAGAGGTTCAACACTCGCCTCAAGTTCGCAACCGCCACACAGACACAAAACGGCTCTGGAACAGACACCCGCCCACCCCTACCCACCCGCAGCCGTAATCACGCAGCTCTGCTCCGGAACTATCCGTACGGCAATGATGTTGACGCGGTGCACCTCTGCGGGCACCTCCGCCGCCACAACCCGACTCGCGAAATCGCCGTCACCGGACCGCAACAACCGCAGTGCTTCCTCCTGCCGCTGCCGCTGCTGCTGCCGCTGCTGCTGCTGCAGGTGCCGACTCCCCTCCGCGTTTTGGCCGTGTCGTGAAAACCCGCACGCGTCCCCCCTCGGATCTGCCGCAGCGCCGCCACCACCATCACCCCGCTTATTGGCCGCTCTGCTGCTGCCACAAGGGTTCCCCCCTTCGCGGCGGTCATCACCACCCTCCTCCACCTCCTCGAGCTGATGTTCCTCCTCCACCTCCTCGAGCTGCTGTACACGCTCTTCGACATGTCGCCACACTAGCTGCCGGGAGTTAGGGTTGGTTGGAGGTTAATTATCAGAGTGTTGAGGGGGGGAGTTAAGGGAGGGGGGGAGTTAAGGGAGGGGGGGAGTTAAGGGGGGGAGGAGTTAAGGGGGGGGGAGTTAAGGGGGGGGGGAGTTAAGGGGGGGGGAGTTAAGGTAGGGGGGGGAGTTAAGGGGGGGGGAGTTAAGGGAGGGGGGAGTTAAGGGGGGGGAGTTAAGGTAGGGGGGGAGTCAGGAGCACAGAGGAGCTCAGCTACGGCTTGGAGAACGTCTGCCACAGACGTGACGGGACCCCGCCACAGACCTTGGGAAGGGGCTGAGAGGGCGGGTTGGGTTGGGTTGGGTTGGGTTGGGTTGGGTTGGGTTGGGTTGGGTTGGGTTGGGGTGGGGCCGTTGTGTCGTGGGAGGTGTGGGGCAGTGTGGGGGTGCCGCGCACGAACCGCGTCGGCTACCCCGGGCTTATTTTCTCAAAGAATATCTACATATGATCTGATTAGGGTTTTGATTAGTTTGGTTTTTTTCAGTTAGTTTTTAGTTCGTTGGGGGTGGTTGGGGTGGGTAGGTTCCAGACATCAGCACATTGCGCACATGAGGGAGGTCAGCTGGAGGGGGTTGGAGAACAGGGGGCGGCGCGTGCGGAGGAGCCCGGGATGACGATGGATGATGGATGACGGAGGGCGTGTGTGCCCCGGGGGGGGAAAGGGGGAGGGGGAAGGGGGGAACGCAGTTTCTTCTGTGTTCTGTTGTGTCCTCTCATCTAATCGCTTCCCCCACCTGCATTAGCTGAGAAGCCTCTGGAAGCTGGGATTCGTCGTAGATCAAACCGACCTCTTTCTCTAGCGCTTTGAGGGCTGGGTGGGAGAGGCGGAAGGGGGATCGGTTTTGAAAGGGAGGAGTTGGTCGCAGGTGGCGGTGAATATTTTGTTTTGCGGAGTTGTGTAACTGCTGCAGAGTCCGAGGTTGCGCACCGTTGTGCAGGCCAGTCTCGTGCATCCATTGCATTACGTAGGCTCGGGCCACGACATCAGGGTCCGACAAGTCCATTTCACCAGCTAATGAAAGATTGCCGCAGGCCTTTGTCCGATGATACTAATCCTGGGCCAAAAAGCTTCCCTTGATCACAAGTCCGACATAGCTTGCAGGGTTATAGTTTCGGCCGAATCGCCAGATGATGTCGTCCTCCAGAGAAATACAGTAAGCTACATCACTAATGCACGGCATACTGTTGCGTTGGGATGCCGCCAAGCTTAATGGTAGGCTTTAGAGGCACCCCTAGCCTTTTCTGACCGGTGTTTTACAACTTCCGGGTTCAGCGAACTGCTGGATCGAGCTCCGGAACCGTGCGTACTTTAACGCGGAATTGAGAACACATTTGACGTCCATTCCAGCGTGGGTCGTGTAAATTCTTAAAGGCCTTCTTACAAATGGTCTGGCTGTACACAGTGCTAGTGTTTTTCGTAAGTGGCTGAGCAGGACTACCGGCTACCAATGGTATTGCTCCCGCCTAGGCTGGGCCCACTGGACTGAACCAATTACGACTCACTCTCCGGATGTGTCTCCCTGACCCCTCCGCGTCGCAGCCTCTCCCATTTTGCGCGCCCGCTTCCCCCTCTCACTGCATAATCCGCCTCTCCGCCCGCTCGTTCTAATCTGCTGCTCCCCCTCTCCCTTCCCCCCTTTCCCCCTTTTCCCCTCAGGCTGAACCGGCTCCTGGGTGCAGGTCGGGTCCCTCCCTGTACTGCCCGCCTTTCAGGAACCCTTTTTTCCGTTCCCCTTTCTGCTTCCAAGCAATCAGAGGTCGGTGTCTCTCGGGTGCGCTGCGACCTGCTGGGGCCCATCCCGGCAGATGCATCCTTCTTGAGGACAGGACAGGACAGGTCAGGACCTAGATTGATCCTCTTGTGCTCTAATTTTAACTTCGCAAGGTTGGCTGTACAGTCAGCTGGCCATTAATTAAGCTACCCACGTCAATGATGGGCAGGCGAATCCAAAACGCCAAACCTCTCAGGGGCCACTCAGGTGTTTGTTGAGTTATGTGGAGTTGCTGGCGTCTGGAAAGTGCGTCGTCAGCGTGTCGTACGGCATAGGAGTGCAAAAAGCGTGTGACGGTTTGAGCTCGCGCAGGCTTTTTGCTGCACATATCCGCCTGCTTGATTCACCGCATGTTTCGTGGTATGTCTTAAATTAGCGCTCTGTAAAAAGGTGACTGAGCCGGGTCTGGCTTTCGGAGCGCTTCGGACGCGGGTTTGTTGGTTTACCAGGGAAAAGTGAACCGCATACCGGCACACAGTACGCAGGTGAATGGGTAGCATTCAATATCTGTTAGCTTGTCGGCCCTTTAAAATTGACAGAGTTAATATTGTAGGACAGTTCGATCCAGACTCAATCAAGCCCAGGCGGCCGAACACAATTTTTTTGCCTCGCAAGCTAAAGCTGGTATCTAGTGGCGCCGCTTCATCTCCCTATGACACGGCTCTACTCCCCCTAGTCCTGGCTATCTGTGATGGGCTATCCCATTGTGGTAAGTCAGTAAGACGATGCCTGCTATACGTTTCCACACAAATTCAGGTACGGGATTGCCCGATTTCGTCGTCGTGGCAGACCAGTAATGCAACTTTTTTATCGCGACTTACATAGGGCTGATGATATAAATTATGGATTGCACGCCTCACGGAACATGACATGCACGCTGAGATTTTGCGCCATTCTCATCCTCAGGGATATCTAAGGCCCTACCGACTTCACCTTATTGCCATGTCCTTGCCTGTAGCTTTTGCGCACATGTCAAGGTCATTCAAGGACGCAAGAGCCATGGAGACTCCTAGCATGGTGAAGCAAATGTCAGACCCACGAGCTGGCTGTGCACTAAATCTTTAACAAAGAGTGGATTGGGATTGCTGCTATACTTAAAAAAAGATAAGAAATGTCTCCGATAATCCATTGAGTGTATGCCGGGCGAGGACGATTTCCTCAGCGCCCACCGTAACACTCACTACGCCTCATACCACGTCTGGGCCTCAAGGCAAGACGGCAGACAGCAAGGGTCTGAAGTCGCTCAGCGGGCAAAAATGCAACCAGCTGTTTATGGCACGCGTAAGTTCGTTTGGGGCTTGCGGGATGTGAGCTTGGGCAAACTGTCATTGTGCTCATCAGCGTACAACGTGTATATGTGTATGACAATCTAATTTACCTAAGACTTTTTAAATGCCCTTTGTCGATGCAGCGGGCTCCTTCGCGGGACGCCGTGCCATGCAGCCCCCGGGCGGAGTGTCTTCCATCAGCTTCGGCGGCGGTGGCGGTGACTCCTCAGCGGGCTACGGGGCCTCCTCATACAGCAACCAACAATACTCTGCCCAGGCGAGCTGCGGGTATAGTGCCGGTGTGGGTATTGCCGCCGGTGGCAACAACATGGCAGGTGTAGGTGTGAGGACCACAGCCCACAATCAGCCTCCTGAGGGGTTGACCTCTCCTGGCCGGAATTCAGAGCTTATCATCTAATGTTGTACATCTTCGCTGACCGAAACACATGAGGAGCGGGAAGTGCAGAGGATGGGCCCCTAGGAAGGGGGGGCCTTTACGGAGGCTCTCCTCCGCAGCTCCCCATCTGCCTGTCTGTCTGTCTGTCTGTCTACTGAGGACGGCTGTGGGCGCGTTATGATAAGATAAGGTACCCCCACCGGTACACTGCGTGCGGTGGCGCAGCTCTTACCTCGCCTACTTCAAGGACCACCGCCACGATGCGACGAGGCAGCACAGCGCCGCGGGCCGCTGAGGGGCCGCCGAGGGTATTCCGCGCATCCATCCATTGGCCCCGTTGGGCGTTTCAGTTGGGGGGGGCTGGTAGTGGTGATGTCGCTTTAGTAACCCTCCGTTCCCTAAAACAGAAGATTTTTGGGTCAAATTCCCCCCTGGGGTAGCTTTTCGATAGTAGTAAGATTATCCTTAAAAAATGAACCTCAACCGGGTTTGCATTGATAAAAAGGCATTGATATGGTTGAGATAAGGTTATTAATAGAGTTATTGATTTATGACACAACCTGTGAGCCGTTGAGGAGTTTGTTGGACCTTTGTTTTATTTTCGCTTCCTGTGCCATTGGTCTTACAGGCGGGGTACGGCGCGTACGGCGGGTACGGCGGATCCGGAGCGGCCGATCTCTCAGCGCAGCTGAACCTGCCACCGATCAACCAGCGGCGACCGCCTTCAGGTGGACGACGCGCCGTGTCACAACCCGCAGCAATGCCCTCGTCGTACTCTTCGTACAATGCCGCAGCAGCATCGCCGTACACTGCCGCAGGCGGCTATGGGGGTAGCAGCGCCTATGCAACTCCTGGCGCCGGTAACGGCTACGGGGCCGGCTACGGAGGCGGAGGTGGCGCGTATGCAGCCACACCGAGCAGTAGCTATACTCCCCCGTACAGCGCGTACGGCGCAGGGTCGTCGTACGGCGGTACGCCAGCAGCGGGCGGCAGTAGCGCCTACGGTGTGTCGTCGTCTTATGGTAACCCCGGCTCCCCTGGCGCCGGCGCGTTCGGCAGCAGTTATGCTGGGGGTGGAGGGGCCGGGTCTGCTGCCGGATCGTACGGAAATGGCGGCTACGGCAGTAATGCGTACGGCAGCAATGCGTACGGCGGTAGCGCATATGGTGGTGCTGGTGCCAGTTACGGGGCAGGGAACTACGGTCAGGCCGGTCGGTACGGCGGGGCAGGGTACGGGGCCCCGGCCGGTGGGGGCTACGGGGGAGGGTACGGAGACGGCGGCGGCGGCGGCGGTGGCGGTGGTGGCGGTGGCGTCCACATGAGCCCCAAGGCCGACTTTTCCCCGGCTAAAGGCGCGTTTTGCGGAAAGGTTGTGCTGCAGCCCCCCGGGGGGAAGACCAGCATCAACCTGTTCGGGTGATCACCGTGGGGCATCGCCACCTTTAGCGTGTGTGTCTGTCTGTCTGTCTGTGACCCTCCCACTGCGAGCTCTATCAGAGCCTTCCCCCCCCCTCCCCCCCCGAGGGTGTGTGTGTGTGTGGTTCGTCTTTCCCCCCCCCCCCGAGGCAGCCGAACCGCGGGGCCCCGAGCAGCACCCCATCCTGCTGCAACCTGATGGAACCGGGGCTCGTGTGCAATCCAAATCTCTGGAAGCGTCCTTACCGTCCTGTGTGTATGTAGGTGTGTATGTACAGTATTGGCGTCGTACTTCACAGTTTGTCTGAACGTACGTATGTCTGCATGGGTAAGGTAACGGCACCGCACCGTGACTGGGACTGGGGCTGGGGACACGCCACAGGGGTATCATGCGCCACGGAGCCGCACTGGTTGCACGTGTTGTAAGTACACGCGTGCGTATGTATGTATGTATGTATGTATGTATGTATGTATGTATGTATGTATGTATGTATGTATGTATGTATGTGGGTAGGTAGCTATGTAGGTATGTGGTTACGAACGGCGAAAACGGACTCGATGTTTTCTGTGTGTCGTACATTGGTGTTTTGAAGGGGGATTTGATTGGGGAACCTGGCGGCGTTCTCCGGGATTGCCTTCCGTACAGGGCCGTACAGCAGCTCTGGGGGGTGTTTGGTGATGCGTCTTGGGGCCGGTGACTTCCATTGTGTGGCACTGGTCAATGTCGTCACCACAAACCCTGTGGTGGAAGTGTGCTGTCGGCTTTGAAAAGGTTTGCAGGATTTTTAAGCAGGATATGAAAACTCTGCGGGTTGGATTTTTGACTGTGCAGGATTTGGATCGTGGCATGGATTCCGACGGGAAGGTGGATGGATGGATGGCGGGGGTCGGTGCATGTGTGCATCTGTATGTATGCATTTTTCGTCGCGTCGCAGATTCATCATCAGCCAAACTCTTTGCTCGGGTGTTGTTACATTGCCGCCGCGCTGATCTGTGCCGTGGAGGAGAAGGGAGAGGGAAATCACGCGACCTTCCTGCTGCGTGGGGGATGATGAGTGAGCTTTTGGTATAGTGTGCATGTGTGCGTGTGTGCGCGCATGCCGGTCAGAGCCGGAGAGCGCTGCGACGCATTTGTTGTTCTGCGCTCACGGCTGAGCTATGTCGGGTGTCGTACTGCGTAGGCGTTGTCGTATTGTGGCCGAGCTAGCTGTGTCGCGCCGAAAAGGCACTCCGGGTGGTGCAGATGGGGTGGTGTCCTGGCAAGAGGATGCCGGTGCTTGCTCGCGCTAAGGAGGAGGGGTTGAGTGGTTTTTTTACGGCAGCTTTTCGTGTCGCGCTATGATGGAATAACAGGACTGTTGGTACGATACAGAACCGTCGTAGGTGGTGGTGCGAAATGGGGTGGGGGTGCTTGGGGCCGTCGCATTGCTGGAGCTTTTTTTGCGGCGTCCTGGAGCGGCGTCCGCGATTACACGCAATAACAGACGGTGATGCTGTTTAGTGGATCTGCTCTGCGCTGCTAGGTTCCTGCTTAATCTAAAAATTCAATAAACAGATTTATACAGTGTGATGTGCGCGCTGTCTGAATTCTGGTGGTGGCCTTCCTACAATACGAAGAAGAAGAAGAAGAAGAAAACGGCGATTAAGCCGGTCAAGAGCGATGGCCGGCCCTCTCCCCTTTAAGGAGGAGGTTGTGCCTATGTTTTGGAAGTATGCATGGCCTGCGGACGGAGGTTAGCCAGGGTTGCACCTGACTCCCCAGGGCGCGGATGGTGCGATGGGTGGGGAGGGAGGGGACCTATGGAGGCAGCTGCCTATCAACAGTAACAAGTAGTAATGTCATAACACCGTCATCACTAACAATTAAACCGCTATACATCGCTTGCGAGCAACTGCCGGCCGTGTCTGGAATTCCCACAAAAACCTTTTACACTTTTGCAGGTGGACCTGACTTGATGGTTGACTTGATGACCTACGTTTCCGGCGTAAAGGGATTTTCAGCGGGATCCCTACGCCGGCTTTCCTGCGGATATCCATTGCGAAATAAGTAGTTATTAAGTTCAGGGATAAAATACAACATAAATAACCAAAAAGCATTAGTTCTGTTTTCACGTTAAGACCGCTGTAGGACGTGGCTAGCAGGCAGTGGCACGGCACGTTGGGCGTTGTTTTTGGACGGGGTTTGAGTTTTCATATCGCAAATTGCAAGTAACGTCGCTCGGGCCCAACGGCTCCAACGACGGAGTGCTTCGGCGGTCTCACCCATGGGGATGGGTAGCATCCCCCGGCCTTAGGGTCCAGTGGGATATGTAAACAATTCTACACACACACACAAACACACACACACACACACACACACCGTACCTCCTTTCGCCCTCCCTCCTAAACCCCACCCCACCCCGCTGTGGGATCCACCTGTGACCCTGTACACGCAGCAGCTGCACGGGACAATCCAACGCACATTGGGGTAGTCGTTTGCCCGCGACCTTGACACTGCATTCGCACTGGGATCCGTTGTGCCTCCCCTGCTGCAGGCTCGCTGCTGCAGGCTGCTGCTGGTGAGCATGGTGAGGATCGGCGTGCAGTTTAAGGGGACAGGCCGCAGAGCAGGGCCATCACGCACCGGGCCGGTTGGGTAGTTCGTGACGCAGAGCAGTGTCGCTCAGTGGGATGAGGGGCCACTATCACCATGCTAGGATCAAGTATTGTTGTGCTGTGGTCGACTGGGTGTTGCATAGCATGCGTGGAGCTTTAGTATGCACCCAGCAGTTCGATCTCAATTGAGGTATCGAGCAAGAACCAGCGGTCCATCCAGTTGGGCGCAGCAGATAGTAGTAGTGCCGCCAGAGAAGGAACCAATGTACGTCTGTAGTGCCTGCGCTTGCACCTCGTGACAGTGGCAGTGCGCAACGTGGTGGAGAACGAGCAAGAGTCCAGGAGGGTCATGTGCACGGGCTGGGGCTGGGAAGGCTGGGAAGGCAATACTTGGCAGTGAACCGGCGAGGCGAGTGGGTGCTGCCATTGAAGAGGAGAGGCTGAGAAGGGGTGTGGGCGCCTGGCAGTGGTTTACGGCAAGCACTACCACGCATGACCGCGAGCAGCTCGCTCCAGGATGCGGACCTGCAGCTGGCTGCTGCTTTTGCCCGAGTGAGCAATTACTGTGCGTGCTCCAGCATGGGCAAGTTGAGCAAGCGGGTCTGCGGCACGATGGTGTTAACAGGCGCAACCAAACGAATAAAAAATATGGCACAGCAGGCGCCTCGCGTGGCGCCGCTCGCGGCAACCTCGCTGTGCTACGACGCGGCCATGCGCCACGAGCTCAAGGCCGCGGGTGCCAAACGTGAGGTTAGACCGTGAGCTGCCCGCAAGTCGGCTGTTGATGACCTGCTTTCCGCCCCTACCAGGGTTTACCGACGGCCCAAGCCCAGGTGCACGCCAGCCCCTTGATTATTTACAATGATCCGTCAGGGATCATTCAACTGTGCCAGAACTTAACCGCGCATCATATGCACCGCTGCTGGTACCGCCCAGCCCCACCACCGTGCACGGCAAGTCACAAGCAAGCTTGCCGCGTACAGGGGCCATCTCATCGGGCACTCAGCCCGCCTCTCAGCAGCAGCGGGGCATGCAACTCCGCTCAAGTTGACGATGCAGACCACACCACCTGCTACCAGGGTTTACCGACGGCCCAACCCCATGTCATTATTACCATGTTCTTGGTGCTATGCAAGTTCGCATCTTTGCACCCGTCGCATACGTGTCACGATGTACTAGTGGTACGCAGCTCACTACTGCACAAACGACTCGCTGTCGATTGGTGCTGAAAAAGAGGCTTGGTGCTTGTATACGCGTGCCTGCCTGCATGCAGCACCGCCACCGCCTGCTGATCCCTCATACGGCCCAGTATCCCCCCCAGCCTTGTCACTGTATTAAGCTCGCAGCCCACACGT